AAGGCATTTCAATTCCTAGTTCATGAGTTAGTGAGAGATGAAAGTCCTTTCAATGCGAAATCGAGCCTTCATATTGTTGAAAGTTTTCAGTCATATTTTCGAGAACTGCCTTATTTGTAATGGTCAATACAGAGATGAAGAATAGCGGCCACATCAATTCCCTTTGCCGACACATTGCCCTAGTTACCAGCAACAAGGATTATGAGACTCCACTTGTAAACACTTATATTTTCTCAGATTGTAATCGCGCTCTGAACTTTCACCCGCCATCGAAATAGCGATGATCGTATTTTGCCGCTCCGCGCTGGTACAAAAGGCATATTAGGACGGCTTCAGTAATCAAAGGTCACTTCGAGAATCTGTTGTCCCATAGAATAAATGCGTCAAATGTCACATCTGAGAAAAAAAAAGAAATCCTCGGTCGCTGAATATTTGGTCCAGGTGAACTCCGAAAAGCTAATTCTGCTGTGTTTCACAGGCGAGCTTTCAGGCATAGTTTAGTTCTGAATGTCTCTGTAATGAAGATAGCTGATCACACAGCCATGTGTTACAGCAAACCAAGGATCAATCATGCGTAAGCTAAAATTCTTTTTAATTTAGGAGGATCGAAGATTTCATTGATCAGCAAGCTGATATCATATTTTACGATCGCTTCTATAACTGGGAAGTGATGGCTGGCTCCTATTTAGCTAAAAACACAAACTGGACAAGAAATTTCCTTGAAGGTACATCTGGAAGTTTTATGGCATGCCATACATGATCCCAGTTACTCAATTCATTGCAAAACTCAACAGATCGACCTAACGTTTTGGGTCATGAGACCCTTCAGATATCATATATTATATCATGGATAGCAACACCATCTTGTTCTCATCTCTTTGGAGTTTGGTTTTCTTCGAACATGTGCACAATTTTGCAGGTTTCGCAAAGTATGAGTTCCGCTTACCGAAGAGTTATCATGGAACAGACAACGGAGCGATCCATGTGGGTTGGCTATCTTTTCGGAAGTGATAACGCTTTGACGAATCTTTTTTTCGTATAGTGATAAAATACATCACAACGCTAGCAATATGGCAGCTTTAAATTGAACACCCGTGCCATTTTCTGGCAAAGTAGGCGGGCTTCCCTTAGGGAACTCAAAGGATGAGCGTTCACAGGGTTTGTCGATAACACTCACATCTTGCTAACACTTCCGAATTTCTCCACTCCCCCCCCCCTCCAAGGGTCTGTTCTATGTAATGGAATATACACTGTCCGCACTATAGCATAATGGAGACTGATCCCAGAAGAAGCGAGATGGTACAAGGTGAGGGCGCACAAGGATCCCAACCTGATTCCTCATGTGACTTCTTTTACACCGATTCTTAGCGAGGCCACTTTGATCGTTCCATTTTGTGATGGACTGCTCGGCTTACTCGGTCATAGTTGTACGAATCTCACCGAGCTGACGCCTATTCTAATGTGTGAAGTCAGCTCTCGAAGTATGGGGTTTCTCAGCGTCACGGCAAATCTCCAAAGTGCAATTCTTCACGGTCATCGATCTTCACGATCGAGGCTTTCTGTGACGCATCTCAGTAACGGAATCCTGGGCACGACCCACTATTTTCATGATAAGAATCTCACGGGAGCTATCTTGAACAAATAGCATTCTGGGAGCCTCTTAGCGCCTTTGTGTTCAAATGTAGCATTTATCAACACGATTCTTCCTGCCAGCAGCCCCCTTACGCCGTGTCACAAGATGGTCACATTGAGAAAGGCTGAGATGGCAGTCTAAATTCCTTTTTATCGGAGGCTGAGTGTCAGGAACACTTTTGCTTGCGGCAATGGCGAACGGATGACCCTTTTTCAAGAATAAGAGGTGAAAACGTCCCTCACAACTAATATTGTTTGATAACTGCTGTTTAACGCCGCAGTGCGCGACCCGAAAGTTATCACAAGAATGCTGAGTTGTGGTGCAAAAGTCGGGCCACGGGGAATCCGACTTTTGCCCACAACTCAGCATGTGATAACGTCCTTCACAACGTTCTGATCCATTCCACTCCGTATATTTACCTGCTCCCACGGGGTATGATGACCATTCGAGTTTTGAGAAATATCGTAACATGTCATGTTACATATCTGCGCCAAGAAGTCAGAGAGTTCCAAGATTACCAAGAAGCGTCTATCTCTGGAAACTCTCGAGCTGATTCGCCAACGTGGAGCCGCACGAGCCGCAGGCAATTACCAGCTGACGTCTGAGCTTGCGAAGCTATGCAGAGAAGCGATAAAGGAAGACCTCAAGGAGAGAAGAGCAGCAGTACTGGTGGAAGCCGCAGAGGCTGGGAAGAGCACGCAACGCCGCGACTTCGCCAACTGTAAGACCAAGATGACCGCCCTCCGACGTCCGGATGGAACAATCACCGCATCCAGAAGGGCAATGGAGAAGGTCATCCACGACTTCTACTCTGATCTCTTTGACAGCCACGTCCACCTGCCACCATACCGCTTGGAGCAGGATGGATACGTCGTTCCTGCAGTTCTCCCTTCCGAAGTCCGACACGCCATCTCGTCGGTGAAGAATCGTACGGCACCCGGTCCCGACAGGATCAGACCCGAACATCTGAAGAATCTTCCGCCAGTTCTTGTCAAAACTCTGGCTCGACTCTTCACGCGCTACCTGTCGGAATGCAAGGTACCCACCTCGTGGAAAACCAGCAAGACTGTGTTGCTGTACAAGAAGGGAGACCTGTACGACATTGGCAATTATCGCCCAATCTGCCTGCTGTCTGTAGTCTACAAACTCTTCACACGAGTCATCCTGAACAGGATTGGCAGAACACTAGACGAAGGACAGCCATGCGAGCAAGCAGGGTTTCGAAGAGGATTCAGCACGATCGATCACATCCACACGGTAACGAAGCTCATCGAAGTATCGCGAGAGTACAAGATGCCGCTATGTCTCACGTTCATCAATAAAAAAACGAGCTCTACAGCAACTTCACGACCAAGATTTCACCATTCTACAAGGAGATCATCATTGATGTGAAGAGAGGGGTCCGACAGGGCGACACCATCTCGCCCAAGCTCTTCAGCGCCTCTCTCGAGAACGTCATGCGTCAACTGGAATGGGAAGACATGGGAGTGAAGATCGACGGTGGCAACTACACCATCTCCGCTTTGCTGACGACATCGTTTTGATAACACCAAACATCGAGCAAGCGGAACGAATGCTGGCTGATTTCGACTGCGCGTGTGGGAAAATCTCTAGGCTTCTCCATGCCAGCTAGGTATTCTTTTACACAGATACGAAAAGGTCTACCGCCTACCCAATATACTCCTTTTTGCACAGTCGGTATTATTAAGCACATTGCGCCCGATGTCTTGCAGTCCCCTTGCTTTCAATAGCATATGACGCACGAAGGAGCTGTACAAAGGCGGTCGTAGAGTCCCTCTCTAACTAATTGTCTCCTCAGATTTGTAGATTAGGTATCCACAATACTGATCTTGTTTAAGATAACAGCCTCCTTTACATTAGTTGGAATGGCTGCAGTTCGTCTGATATAAACGGATCACAGAATGAGACTCTCGCTTCGCGACACTTGAGTGCGGCAATTCTCGCTTTGCTCATGGGGACATTTGACATCGTGTAGCCATTCTCGTGCGCTATGCAGACCGCCCGTTCTACCGAATGGGCCTTATTTTCTTTTTCCAAAAAGCTGTTGAAGCTGTGTGTAACATATTACTGATGATAGCTTTCCTAGTGCTGGACGGATGAGCAGAAGTGCAGTAGACTAGAATTTTCTGCTAGTGGATTTGCGGTACCATCTTATCAAGGATGTGCCTGCAGTATCCGAACGTGAAACTGAGAAAGGGGAGCCAGTCGCTTGCCTGTATTTGCCCTGCGAGCTTTATGTGTTCCGACTGCTAGTTCAGCACTCCGTAACATTTGTCGATTCCCATTTGAGAAGAACACTCAATGTAGCCGTCGTCATTATACCAGCAGAACAAAACTGGTTCGCACTCCAGGAACGGATCTGTCTCAAGTTTTACAGAATGTTCGCAACCACTTGGTAACCTTTTAGTCTCGACGCTTGCCCCGGGTGCCCACGGGCGCCCGACTCTGCCGCGCTCTACGGCCAAACCATGCGCTGCACCGCCAACCAATAGGCGTGTACCACGTGAAGTCCCGCTGCGCGCTGCTATATAAGTGGCCGACGGGAGAGGCTCCCACTGCGTTGCTCTCTTGGCATCCCTTCCCTGCGGGAAGGAAAGTACCCCTTCTCCTGCCTGCAGAGAAGGTCAATGCCAGGCTCACGTGGAGTGCAGGGTCCGAGTGGCACCTGTCGCTGCGAGGGCTAGCACTCGCGCAAGCCGGCAGAGTGCCGCCTTACCGCGCTTACCGCGAACGATGTCAATCAAGGACCGATGGTCGTTCGCAACGGCAGGGATGAAGGTATAAGATGGTGGTTGACGTCGATACTTTCCGCAGTAATAAATGTGAGTGTTTATAGTGTCTGCTTTGTATTGGGTAAGATTACTGCCGGCGAGCGCCAGGGCGGGCGGGGGCCCGACTAAGGCGCTGTAGGCTGTTGTTTCATGTTGCACCTTATCGGTTGTGCGTCCAGCGACCAGGGAACCCTTGGTCTGGTCCTTGTGGCCGGGCCAGGCGTAGGCCAGCCGTTGGGACCAAGTCCCCCTCCACCCACAACCCCCGGGATAGGAACCCTGTAGACCCTCGGGGAGCGGAGGCTGCACTGGGGAGAGACCAGTGCGGTCCCCGAGGAGGACCCTTAGGATGACGTGAGTTCCTGGATTCGGGACTCACGGGGGCTCTGAACCATCTCGATGCGTCGTGTTTTGAGGGGTTTGAAGGGCGACTGCCTCTGAACCACGACACCTTTGTACCATCGCTAGCCCTCTAATTTGTCAATACTGACCCCACAATAGCCTGGGATTTTGTGAGACCAAGAAATCAACAGAACCGTGATGTGCACTGAGAATTTCGAAAATGACGAGCATAGCAAATTTTTTGATACATTCATGCATTGAGCTGACGTCGAGACACGTCATGTACCTCCATTTTAGTGTTCCGAAGTTCTTTGAAACCACATGATACGGTCACACATAGTTTGGGTATGCGTGACGACCATCTCCCAGCTGGTCACGCACATCGAAGCGTAGCGGTCCCCGTCCGAACATGCGCAGGAATGGAGATCCAGGACCGTGGGACACGCTAATTCCTCCATACTCCGCCTAAAATGCAACTTGCGGCGCAGACTCCCGATCCCGTTTATACTGACAGCCGTCCGCGCGGCGCGTGTCGCGCGCAGCGCTCCTGGCACTTTGCCAAGCCGTACAATTGCGCTACGGAATGCAATTAACACCTTGACGACAACGCGCGTTTTTACTTTTCGGCCTCGTGGGACACGCGCGCTTTCTCAACCAGCGCGGTACGCACACAGTTCACACGGTCCCACGAAGCGCTTTTCTTAAAAAATAAGATCGGACCTGATTTAGAGAACAATTATGAAGTAAGTAAATCATGCACTACAGAAAAAAAAGGTCTGGCCAGCTTTCGTCGCACTAGGTGCCAGAAATTCGTCTATAACCAATGATTTCATAAAAAAACACGAGTCGTGTTCAGAATCCTTCGCCTTGTATTTTCTAGCATTATCAAAATGGATTTGATCTGCATTTAGTAAAGTGTTGGAGAGCAAACCAATCTAGAGTTGAGGAGGAAATCAGTCCAGGCGAATCCTGTTTATCCCCAAAGAAGTATTTGCTAAACTAGTGTGTACTGAATTATTCCATGGACTACGCATAGTACGAGTATACCAAGGACTGAACTATAGAATGATTAAGAGAAACTAATTAAAAAACCATGCACTGGTGAAAGATATGGATTTGTTGGTCGTAAGTCGGGTTCTATGCAATGCAATATGCAATATGCAAAATTCCAATGGGTTCAAACACAGACTCCCGATGTATTGGGTTGGCACATAAGTACTTTCAACCGGAAATTTCGTTCCAAA